CCCCGGCCGGGCCGCTCAGCGTGCGCGCCCCCGGGCCTGAGACGCAGCGTGCGCGCCCCGACCCCGACACTGTCCCGCGGGACGCCGGACTCCCCACCTTCTCCAAGCTCAGTTTCCCCACCTGTAAGATGGGGACAGTTCGTTTCGTACGACGTGGCCGCTTGAACTCAGTGAGTCAGGCGCTCCGACGAGCCGGTCATTTATTCCGCGTGTTCACTGAGCACCCACTGTCTGCCCACTTCTGGGAGTTATCTGGCTCCCTCCTCCGCCACCTCTCTGTAAGACCCCGTTATTCACTACATTTTTTAGAGGAAGAACCTGAAGCATGCATGGTTCGTAGGGCCGCTCGACTAGAGCCTCCTGGAGTCAGAGAAGTGGCATGCCTGTGGGCCAGGGAGTTGAGAGGGGAACGGAATAAAGTGAAAACCCAGCACCACAGTAAGGTGTTGCCGAAAAGTCTTCTACAGGCTCCCATGTTGCAAAGAAGGAGGCTGATGTGGCTCCACAGACCTCGGCCTCCCCTCTCTCCATCTCCCCAACACTCATCCACTTCTAGCCCCAACAGTCCTTCAAGGGCCTAGTGGAGTCCCACCCCAGGGCCTTTGCACTTGCTGTTGCTTCTGCCTGGAGCATGCCCTGCAGGTTATCTGCAAACCGAGCTGCTTCTCTTCCTTCAGAGGTCAGCTGAACTTCACCTCTTCCTAGGGGTTCTACTTCCCCTACCTTCCCCCACCCCACCCCTCACCCTCCGTGAGTAGGTCCATCTCCTTTCCTTGCTTCATCCTCTTTGTAGCAGTGATCACACTCCATTATAGACACTGCTTTTCTGATTTGTTTCCCATTTTTTCTGACATAGGGATTAGGACTTCCAGGGCAAGGATGTGTCCCCATTATAGCCATGTCAATGCACCCAATATGTGTCTGGCATACAGTAGGTCACCCACTAATATTGATCAGAGACCAGAATTTCTCCAAATACAGCCAAAAAAATAAAGCTCAGTTTCTGGCCACATCATCAGAAAACAGGGCTAAACCTTGGACTTGGGTAAACTGACATCTCATTCCAAGCAGCCTTGGCCTGGGATTAGCTAGGGTGCCAACTCAAGAGCCATCTGCCTCTGGCCCTGGCCTCGGAATACCCAGGGCAGAGTTCACTGGACTGGCCCGGAGCCCTGGTTTGTGAGCACAAACCAGAGGTCACATACTCAGTGGCTATTTTGGTCTCTGGCAGCTTCAGGTAGAATTCAGAAAATCTGAGAGCTGGCCTGCACCAGCTGTGAGAACAAGACCCAAACCAAGTGGGAGAAGAGAAAAGAACAAGGATCACGTTTCATAACTCCAGTGTGTAATAAGTGTCTGCACATGTTGCTAGAAGCCAGGGTTGTGGAGGGAGGGAAACCACATCATTTTCCCTCATCCCACCATACAAAAGGGAGGAAGCATATATAACATCCAGAGTCAGTGCTGATGGGAAGAAACTGAGTCACACACTGCTGAGACTGGATGGGAGAAAGGCTCAGATACACAGGTAGCCCAAACTACACTCAGGCCCTGTCTGAGCACATCACTGGGGTTTTCTTTCTTAATCTCACAAAACCCTTCAAGGGAGGACTGTTCTTATCCCATTTTTCAAGTATGGAAACTGAGGCCCAGAGCAGCTCAGTCATTTGTCCCAGGATCACATATGGGAGGGACGGGGATTTGGAGCAAGAGTACATAGGCTTGTCTTTAGGGAGGACAAGCAGCCCCCAAAATATCCCGACTGGCACTTCCAAGGTCTGTGCTCAAGGATCTGCTTTGCAACAGTGGCAGGATAGATGAAGGAGCAGGGAGAAATAGAGGGCACCTTAAAAAAAAAAAAAGCAAGATGGGGGTGCCTGGGTGACTCAATCTTTTAAGCGGCCAACTCTTGATTTTGGCTCAGGTCATGATTTCATGGGCCTGGGATCAAGCTCCATGCTCAGCAGGGAGTCTGCTTGAGGATTCTCTCTCTTCCTCTCCCTTTGCCTCTCCCCCCACTCACATGCACACTCATTCTCTCTCTTTCTCAAATAAATAAATCTTCAAAACAAAACAAGATGGTTACTTTGGAAAGACAAGTGCAATAAAGGGCTGCTACCACATAGAAAAGCTTGGCAGTTCCTCAAGAATTTCAACAAAGTTACCAGAGGACCAGCAATTCCACTCCTAGGTATAAACCCCAAATAATTGCAAATAGGTGTCAAACAAATACTTGTACGTGAATGTCCATGACACCATTCAGTTGCCAAAAGGTCAGTACAAACAAACAAACGTCCGTCAATGGATGAATGGGGAAACAAAATTGGTCCATCCAGGAATGGAATATTACTCAGCCATAAAAAAGAAGGGAGTTCTGATACACGCATGGATGAACCTTGAAAACATCATGCCTACTGAAGGAAGCCAGTTACAAAAGGCCACAGGGTGTAGGATTCCACTTATATGAAACCTCCAGAACAGGGAAGTCCATAGAAACAGAAAGGAGATTAATGGTTGCCAGGGGTTGGGGGAGGAGGGCAGGGAGCGACTGCTCATGGGGATGGTGTTTGCTTTTGGGTGATGAAAATGTTCTGGAACTAGATAGAGGTGATGGTTGCACAACATGGTGAATGTATTTAATGCCAATGAATTGTACACTTTTTTTTTTTTAAGATTTTATTTATTTATCTGACAGAGAGAGACACAGCGAGAGAGGGAACACAAGCA